TAGCACTGGATCACCAAGACAATCCATTAGCACTGGATCACCAAGACAATCCATTAGCACTGGCTGAGCAATGCCAACCACAGCAGGTGCACAGAGATGGGATGAGCAATCAAGACCTCAGACCCATCGGGGCCAGTTCCACCCCACAGAAGCCCTGAGATCTACCAAAGGAGCTTATGAGAGGCCCTCATGCCACCCCTGTATCCAAGGTACCCTCAACCCTGTCCCCGCCCCTCTTACCAGTTTGAGTCGGATGTCATAGCCACACTGGGTGTTGAGGACATCTTCCTGAGGGGGAGACAGACCATTAGCAATATGCTAAGGGAACACCCATGGTCTCACTGGATCCTAAACTAAAATGCTCTTCTTTCACAGAAAAGCAAATAGAAGCTTGGGTTTTGCCATGCCCACTCATCTGCAGCCAAACTCCAGACTTCTTAGCTCTCTCATGGACACCAGAGCACACCGGCATGCACCTCCTACTGCTTAGGGGTCCTGCCTCCTCCCAGGGCCCCACTTACCGCAGGGTCCCTAACACAGCAGGAAAAGGGCACCCCACAGCGCTCACGGCTCGGGTTCAAGTCAGTGCAGTTGAAGTAGATATTGAGGTTCCAGTCATTGGGCCCTCGGGCGCCACAGCAAGACCACTAGGGAGAGAGGAGAGCCTGGGTTTAGGGGTCCACAGCTGGCAACTGGGCCTAACCCTAGAGCCTCACCCTCCCTGTTTGGGGCAAACCCAAAGGAGAGGGCGGGTTGGCTGGAAGGGGCAACTCCAATCCCCCCAGCAGACGAGCCTGAGCCCCTAGGAATCCGAGTGGTGAAACGCTGCTTGAAGGCTGTGGCCTCCTCGTGGACCTGAGGGGCAGGAGCAAGACCGAACCCTGAGGGGACAGAGGCACCACACATCCTCATATCCGCACTGGGTCTGCACACTTGCCCAGATTTGCAAATCCTTCACCGCAGGGACAGGAGAGGAGCCCAGCCAGCTCTCCCATCCCAATCCACTCCGCAAACGCCTGCTGGCATGATCTGAAGTCACAGCGCCCCTCCCCAGAATAACCCTGCGAACCTTCCCAGATGTCGCCATGGCAAGCCCAAGTCTGCAGTGCAGGGGCCTAACAGTGCAGAGCCCTGGGGGGACTGTCCCAGCCACGGCAAAGATGGCTGTGAGGGCTGGGGAAGCTCCAGGGTGAGCATGAGACGGCTCCGGTGTCAGGCGCAGGCCCTGTGGCAGAGCCAGGGGCAGGACGCCTGGCCGTGCGCTGTGTGCAGGTCTCCGACACCACTGAGCCAGCGTCTGCCCCGTCACCTGCTAAGAGCCTGCTGTCCCTTCTGGGGACAGTCCTGTTCTTCACACCGCCCACTGTTCCTTCCCCTCCTCAGGGAGGCGTCAAGGTCACTGTCCAGGGGCTCCCCCTCACTACGCTCTCCATTTCAGCCCTTGCCACGGTGTGCTCTCTTCTCCCCACTCCCCACCCCCCAATAGCCCCGTTTTGTATGTGCATCACCATCCCCCAGGACACTGCCATCACGAAGAGAACAGGCTGCACATTTTAAAAACACTGAATCTCCCCGCACCTGGCTCAGGGCCTGTCCCAGTTCCATACTGAATAGAGAAAGCAAGCACAGGGAACTTCAGGCTACATGACTGCTTCTGCCCTGGGCAGCTCCAAGGCACTGCAGAGTCCCAGCTCCCAGCGCCAAATCTTGATAAGGTGACTGGGTGTGACAGGGTGTGGCCCTAAGGAATTGTGAGGATTGGAATGCACAGGTGGGAATAGTTTCATGGCTGTAAGTGCAGAGCTTTTAATTACAGACAGTGCACAAGACTTGATGAAAATAAGCAACTATGCTCCAGCTGGAGAGGCAGATCAGTGGTTAAGAACACTGGCTGCTTTTTTTGAGGACCCAGGTTCAATTCCCAGCACCAATATGGTGGCTCACAACTACCTGTAACTCCAGATCCAAGGATCCAATGCCCTCTCCTGGCCTCTTCAGGTACCAGACACACATATGGTGTGCAGGCAAAACACCCGTACACATAAAATAAATAAAATTGAAAAAAGAAACTAAGCAACTATGTTGCTAGATTTTGCTCTGATGTCTGCACAAGGACAAAATCATCCAGCAATACATTTCTCAAAGAGTGTCTGTCACCAAACCTAAGTGGCTGAGCTGGACAAAATTTGAGGCACAGTACTGGGGCATCAGCAACATAGCACACACACACACACCCCAGACACTCTGGGCCCAGACTGAGGAGAAAGAGAAACTTGCACTGTACATGCCATTTCCTCCTCTGGCCACAGCTTCACACACCTGTGTCCCTAAGAAGCCAGGCAGGAGGAAGCCTGGGGAATAGGCAGGAGCTGGCTTCTCCTGGCACAGGGGCTCTCTCTTCCCTGGCATCTGCTGGCCTGGGTGAGTGAGGAAGTGATGCACACACACAGAAAATTTGCTGTTTCTCTCAAGTGCCCATCAGGGATTGCCTGCATGGGGCCCACGATGGCTATCACACTCACGTATTCCTGAGCAAAGTCGATAAGGTTCTGAAGGTCAATGTCATCCCGGTAGGCTTTGACATTGCTGTTGATGAAGAGATTGAGTTGGTCTCGAATCCAGTCCTTGAAGACAAAGGCCAGGATCCCTGTCGCCAGCTCCAGGAAGAAGATGAGGCCGAGGAACACGGAGAACTGGGTTGGGGGCACACAGACGGTAGGCATTGGAGAGGCAGGGATCTGGGGGCTCCACAGGCAGGAGCTTCCCACACCTCTGCCAAGACCCAAGGGGGCGTCAGTCTCCAGTCTCTACCCACTATTATTTGAGTGCTGCCCCCTCCTCCCAGCCCTGCAGTACGGACCCCAGAGCCCTGTGTGTGCTAGGCAAGCGCTCTACCACTGAGCTGGCTCCCTGCTCTTTAAGGCTGTCTTGTGTTGACAAAAGACAGCGTGGTTTTACCTGTTCCCTGTCTGGTCACCAGGCCTAGGCAAAGAACTGAACAGAAAGAGGACAGGGGTCTCCAGTGTATCTGGGGTAGAGACACTTACAAACTTGAGCAGGAAGGTGTTTTCCCGGAGGGCACCAATGCAGCCAGCGAAGCCCAGCACCGACATGACACCACCAACCACCACAAACAGCCACACAGGGTCTAGACCTCCTAGATCTGTCAGCGCCGAGATGTTGGAGAGAACACCCTGCAACAGGGGAGTGGACAGCATGAGGGAGTGATTGTGCTCCCACCCCACCCCTGGGCGCCACTCTCTTACCTTCTCGCCCCAAGCCCAGAAGCCGATGGCCAGGAACAGGGCTCCCAGCACCTGCGAAAGCGGCAAGAGTTTCGAGCTGGACACCAGCACAAGGACTTCCTCACACCCCTTCCTGAAGGCCTTTGGGAAGCTGAGGGAAAGGGCCCAGGCTGTGAATGGGACCTGGTGGAGCACCTGCCTAGGATACCTTTCAGGGAGTCTTTCCCATAGGCTAGCTAGAGGAACTGAGGCCACCTCATGCCTCAGACTGGACATCAGCCCCTTCCTGGACTCTCCAAATAGAGCAGAATCCTGCTGAAAGCCTCCTCCCCGCCCCCCACTCAGAAAGCATCTGGCCTCAGGTATACTTGTGCCTTTGGGGTTTTTTTGTTTGTTTGTTTGTTAAGACAGGGTCTCAATGTAGCCAAGGCTGGCTAGCCTCTAACTCATGATGTAGCTGAAGATGACCATGGGATCTTAGCCTTTTCTGGGTGTTCTACCCAGAACTCTTCTTTCCCTCTCATGCCTCCTTGCCACTCAAAGCCCAGCTGAAGCCACCATCCTCTCCAGCCATCTGGGTATCTGTTCATTTGCTCAGTATTTCCTCTGCGTATGGATAAGCAATATGGGGCCAAGAGCAGGTCTGGCCTGTTCTCTGGTGTGCCTGGGACACTGAGGTGTCTGAAACAGGAGAGGAGATGTGAGGGTCTGGAGCCAGGGAGATGACAGTGTCCCAACAAGCTGAAAATGACTGTGGAAAGAAAGGAGGCCAGGAGGTTAAGGCTGGAACCCAGGATGAAGGGCCAAGATGGGGCAGAGGGGTCCGAGGAGGAGGCTGGGAAAGAGAGGAGAGGAGGAGGAGGAGGAGGAGGGGAAAGAGGGGAGGGGAGGAGGAGGAGGAGGAGGAGGAGGAGGAGGAGGAGGAGGAGGAGGAGGAGGAGGAGGAGGAGAGGAGGAGAGGAGGAGGAGGAGAGGAGGAGGAGGAGAGGAGGAGGAGGAGGGATGGGGTTGGGTTGAACAAGGAGAGGTTTGGGAAAAATAAAACATTAGCCGGTCTCTTGTCCAAAGATGAGATAGATCAGATGGGATGGGGCTGGAGAAGTGATGTTTGGTTGCACGCCCCATCCCCAGCACGGGGAAGGCATTTCCAGGGAGAACCCAGGACCAGGGCAGGAAAGGGTAGGTAGAGGTAAAAGGTGGATGGTGTCTCTCTACTCCAATGGTGTGTCCCTCAAAGACTGCACGTCTAGGGAGCTGCCCGGGGTCAGGAATGAGAGGGTGGTTGGCCTTGACAATCATGGCTCTCCAAGCAAGGAACTGAGGTAAGATAATGAGAAAGATTGAGGTGATTTAGGGAACACAGGCTGCCCAGATGAGGAGTCTGTAGCTGGTGTCCAGATGGCATGGGCAGAGCCAGGAGGAGTGTCACAGACCTATAGTCCCCACACTTGGGGGTGGAACATCAGGAGTTCAAGGTCCCAGACCCCTCCCCACTTCCAGATCCTCGGTCACCCTTCCATATACCTGCAGCCAGCTAGAGCTGACCTAGTTCTGCTCTGAAGCCCTGACTGCTCCATGCTGCCCAAGCTCGGGACCTCAATGTTCCGCCCACCTTCACTCCTCTGCCCAGACCCTGGAACAAAGCCAGGACGACCAGATCTGCCTCCCCTGACCCACCCCCCACACACACACTCAGAATTACTTCAGCTTGCTCCTCTGCCTTACCTCCTGATAAGCATCTGTCACTCTCAGCAAATGACTTAATCTCTTGGTGTCTATTCATTCAGTCCCCTATCTGTAAACTATAGATAATAATAAGGTAGTTGGGGAAATGTGCTTCATTAGAACTCTCCTTTAACAGGAAACGCGGTGTGATGGCTCACACCTGTAATCCCAGCACTCAGGACGCTCAGACAGCAGCTTCCAGCCAGGGGGGGCTACAGAGTAGCCCTGCCTCCACAACAAGAACCATTATTTAATCCAATACCCAGGAAGGACAAACTCTAATACCCCCCACTCCTAGGCTGGAAAGCTGAGGCCCAGAGAGCAAAGGTGGCTGGCCCAACAGCCTCCGGACAAGGCCTGCTACACTCAGGCCCTCTGACTTCCAGGGCAGGGCTCCCTGCAGCTGCCCATACCCTCCAGAGCAGAAGGCTGCGGAGATCCAAGGGCACCCACCACAAGGCAAACCCGGCAGCACGTGGGTGGAGAACAGAGTCCTTGAATCCTGCTGAAAACAAGTTGGAAAGGCCTGGCATGAAAGGGAGCATGCAGAGCCCGCTTCGGCGATAGGATGGGGGAGGAAGAAAAGCAAGATGACTTGGCAGGGCCAGGACACAGACGCCACCCTGGGAGGGAAGCCTCTCTTCTGTCAGCTATGGAATGCTGAATTCTGTCCCGAGGGACAGCTCCCTGCTCTCCACAGCTCTTTCTCCCGCGGCCACAGAGGCCTGGGCTTTTGTCACTTCCTGCCCTCCTGGCTCACAAGCTTCTTGTCGGTGGGGTAGACTAGGGCTAGGACCCAACCGCAAGAACCTCACGCACCATGCCGGGAGCTGGCGTGGCCAGGAGGTGGGGCGGGGCTCATCCCGCAACTACCGCGCCCCTGCAGTCTTCCGACAAACGCCGCCCCCTTTTTCGCCCAAACTTGGGGCTGCAAGGCAAGACTCCCAAACCTACCCTGCTGGGACTGGGTCCCGCCCCCCCCCCCCCCCCAGTAATCCCAGTAGCTCCCTCTGAGTAGTTCTTAAGGACTGGGAATCGGGGTGGAAGGAGTCAGGAACAGTCCCCGGTCGCAAGTTCCTGGGGAGGGGCTCGCCCCCGCCAGAAACACAGGCTGCCTCGCCCCACTCCCCAGCGCAGGGCACGGAGCGGACCCCGCGCTCACCCAGAAGACAATGTTGAAGCCAAACAGGAAATATTTCCCGCAGCAGCCGACTTCGGGGTCCTGGAAATGCTGGTGCTTGCCTGGCATGGTGAGTGGGCACCCGCCGCCCCGGGAACCGGAGCCGGGGACCGGCCCAGCCCTCTGCGGGCCGCCCAGGCCTGGAGCCGCCCCGGGCCTAGCCCGGCGGCTGCGGCTTCATGGCCAAG